ATTCTAGAATGCACACAGATTATAACATAAAAACATAAATGTTTAGACTAAATAGCTTAAATCTCATAACATTATACATTCATATATATTTATTATTTTTATTATATTAACCTTACAACCAGACCTGGCTAACAATACAGAAGTTCCAATGACGCGGCACACGTGCACTCATGTTACCATCTCCAATAACATAAAACTGACCTTTGGTCTGTACAAAGTAACTTGTCTTGGCTGTTTTTAGTGGTCTAGTATTTTGTAAAATAGTCACATTTCAATTATCATACATTATATATGAATATATAGATTATTGCTATTTTGAAATAAATTCCTAAACTTATTTTTCTTAAAACATAGAACAGTAAATAAAGAAATATGGCAAACAATTATCTCTTCTAGTTACAACCTTTGTATTTGGTTGCTGTTTGACATAAGTTGCTACGCTTTTAAAAATTTTGCACGTGGAGGATATGAAACAAAATAATTTATTTTAGGTTTTATATATACATTTGAGTAACTATAAAATCATAAATTACTACATTAATACCATAGAATTCCACTATAATTTATTAAGCTTAGTAACTAAGATGTATTTTAGTATTAAAAAAATATGAAATTTCGAGCAGCTTAAAGACACATACCTACCTCCTTCAAATATTGGTCAAAAGAATGAAATGGCATCCAAGCCCATTAAAATGGTTGAGAAAGCCACTAGGGGACATTCTGAGCTTCCAATTGGTTACTCATGTCATATATAGGAGTAAGTGTATATAACGGACCATTTCCAAAAATGGAAAGAGGTGGGCAGGGTACCATGTTTGATTTATTACATGAGCAATATCTTAGTAAATAGAAAAGATTAGACATTCTTATTTTATACTCTAGCTTGTCAATATCTGTAATTTGAGTTTCTAATTCGTACGAAACTATACACTTAGTGTTTTGACTTCACAAACATCTAATTTGAACCAGTGCTGCATTCAACATACCACGTGACACACAAAAATCAATGTTTATGTGTTTTTTAATATTTACTTTTAAATTAACAAATTAAGTAATGTATAGTTCTAAAATTTGAATTATAATCTACAGTTTGATACCAAAATTATTAACATAACTTCATGAAATAGTAGTTCAATAAAATTTTCAATACGAGTCATTAAACGAGATGACATTGCCTTTCACCCATGACCCATCTCGAAAGGGTTAATAGGGACAGAGTATTAAACAGGGGAGTGGGGTGGCTTTATATGTAAAATGAGAGTTACATCCTGTTAAAGTTGAGGATATCAAAGATAACAGCAAAGAGAATGAATCCATTGGGTTTCTATTAGTGGATATAAAGGAAAAAGCTTTTAATGGGAACTTGTTACAGACCACCAAAAGATATTGATGAAATCAGTGAGAAACTTTTGAGATAAAGATTTCAGCTGTTAATGAAGTCATAATTAAGGGTGATTTTAATTTCAGGCATATAGATTGGAAATTTCTTGTCAAACCATGAGGGAGAAAGATTTTTGGAAACTGTTCAGGTTGGCTTTCTTCACCAATCAGTCAAGGAACCTACTAGGAATAATGCTATTTTAGATTTATTGTTAACTTCAAATACAGAAATGGTCGAGAGGGTGGAAACTGGGGAACATCTGAGTGTAAGTGATCATTGCTCTATTAAGTTCAATGTTTTGCTGCATATGGAGATAAGGAATAATGGTATTTTGGTTACAAATTTCAAAAAAGCAAATTTTGAGAGAATACGACAAGAATTATCTGTTGTGAATTGGGCAGCTGAGTTATTTGGGGACACTGTTCAGGTGTGGAAAATTTTTAAATAATCAAAGTAAATATATTCCTTATAGAAATAAAAGGGTAGCTGCAAGTAAAAAACTAGGTTGACTCGCAAAGAGTTTAAGAGATAAAATTAAAGAAACGCAAAATAAATGTATGAAATTTAAATTGACTGGTACGACAGGAGATTTAGAAGATTATAGAAGATCAAGAAAGTTGGTAAAACAGCAAAATAGGACACCAAAAAAGATGTATGAGAAAAGGTAGGCTGAAAATGTAAAAATCAACAGTAAGGATTTCGTTAAATACATTAAGGGAATACAAAATATTAGGATGTATCTGATGATTACGAGATAACTGGGTTATTAACTTTTGCTTTTTCCTCGGTTTTCCCTAACAAAGATTTAAGCAGTATTCCACATCTTGAACAGTTGATAAATGGACAAGAGATCAAACAAGATGACTGCATTAATTCTGAGCTTGTTAAGAAAAATTGGGAAGTTTAAAAAATGATAAGGCTCCTGGGCCAGATAATATTTCCTCAAAGGTTTTGAAGGAGGTAAAGGATTGGATATGTGAACCACTTACAGCTATTTTTTGTCAGTCTTTGAATAGTGGGCAGGTACCAGAAGACTGGAAGTTAGCTAATGTAACTCCTCTTTTCAAGGGAGGAGATAAAAATTGTCCCAGTAATTATGGACCCATTAGTCTTACATCAGTTGTGATATAATTTTGGAAAGTCTGTTAAAAGATGCTTTGCAAAATCATTTAACAAAGTTTAGAATTTTATTGGATAGTCAAAATGGCTTCACTAAGGGAAACCTTTGCCTTACAAATCTTTTAACATTCTTTAAAAAGTTACTGCTTATGTAGATGAGGGTAAGGTGTAGATTTGGTGTATCTGGATTTTCAGAGAGCATTTGACAAGGTGCCATATAAAATGCTTGTAAAAAAAAAATATCTATATGTGTAAGGGATAAGTTAGCAAATTGGATAGAAGAGTGGCTGGATGGAAGAAAGCAGAGGGTTGTTACAAATGGAGTTCAGTCAAACTGGATTAATGTCACAAGTGGGGTATCTCAGGGCTCAGTCTTACAACCTTTTTTCTTTTTGATTTACATCAATGACATAGATGAAAGAGTGGTCAATAAATTACTTAAATTTGCTGATTACAACAAGGTCTTGGATGTTGCTAGCTGTGAGGAGGAGGATGCTGCTTTACAAAATGATTCAGATTATTTAGTGAGTTGGGTAAATAAATGGCAGATAATGGATGTGGGTTATCCTAATTTGAATTATAAGTATAATTTGAATGGGAATAACCTTAACAGTGTTAGGAATGAAATGGATCTTGGTGTAATAGTCATACAGTCTCTAAAGCCATCCAAGCAGTGTATTGTTGCTAATGGT